GTGATGTTTGATCATTTTTTAGGCTTTCGGACCCCGAGACTCAACTATTTTCTGCAATTCTCCAGCTGTGATCCTTGGAGAGTCTTTGGCCACTCAAACTATCCTCCACACCTTGCATTAAGACAGTTTAGACACACGTCCTCTTCAATGCAGATTTATAACATTTTCGGTTGATTGGAAATTCTTAATTATTGCCCTGATGGTGGAAATGGGAAATTTGAATTGTTTTAGTTCTTTTACAGCCACTTTCTATTTTGTGAAGCTCAACAATCTTCTGCTGCACATCAAAACTATATTCTTTGTTTTTTCTCATTGTGATGGCTGATTAAGGGAATTTGGCCTTTGTGTTCCCTCATATTTATATTCCTGTGAAACAGGAAGCCATGGCTGGACAAATTCATGTTTGTAGTCACCCTGGTGTGCTAAAAAAATGTACAGTAAATATAAATGGGAATATGCTTTAGAGATATTTTACTTATAATAATTTCTAGTTGTGTCAATAATTGTGGCCAACTTGTATTTGAGAAAAAAGTTTATTTCATAATGACATTTGAAATGCCCCCCATTTTCAGTGTTTTATTTTACTTCAATGAAAGGTTAGGTTTTTGTGAAAAAAACAGGTTCCTTTGTTCATATTTACCAATTAGGTGTCAATAATTCTGGCCATGACTGTAACTTTCTTTCATCTGTGGAACACAAGAAATTTTGAAGAATGTCATAAGTGCTATTTTTAAAAGTGCACATAAACAAAAGGCATTTAAAAGCTTCAGCGGAGGGCAAGATTATTCCAAATATTTCTTTTTGGGTTCAACAGAAAAAATAATCAGTTATACAGGTTTCATTTTTGGGTGAACTGTCTGTCCCTTCAAAAAATGTAACAAAAAAATGTGCTGGATAAAGTTAACAGAATGACTACAATCAGGTATGCAGGAAAACAAAATTTGAGTTTACACCACAAATGTAACAATGCCGTCAAGCCATCAATATCTTCTCCACTATCTCTTTATGATATGAGGGGAATATTATTTGGTCTGCACAAGAAAGTTACCATCCCTTACCAGACAATATATAATCCTCACAAAACCTCAACCAATTAAACACTAGACAAAGAGCAAGGCCAACATTCCAGACAGTTCAAATCACACATCTGTGGATGGAGAGTATTGACCAGAGCAGTGGAGAAAAACACATTATAAAAGCACTGAGACACTTGGCACTCTTTAAAATAAATCCTAATTCTTTATCACTCTAACTTGTCTTTTATCTCTGACTGTGAAACTGCCAGTGCCTTTCACTCACATTATAGTGAAATACAACAGAAGCTGAGCTGCTATTGATGGTTGTGGGGTCTGTTTTAGAGCTTAAATGGTCGAATGGTATGTTTTCTCTCTGAAGACCAGACACTGGAAAGCATTATGCTAGATGAATACCTAATCTCTCAGTCTATTTAAATTATTTAAATCCAAGCCTGAGGGAGGAGCGACCAACTGTTCTGCAAATGCCTTTAAAAATATAAACAAAATAAATAAGCAAACAGGCACAGTATTTTTAAAATTGTTTTTACTTTGATTGCTTTATTTTCTCCCTGTCTAGCGAGACATTCGCTGAATGAACATTTTACTGGACTGAGACGCACTGGCAATGATGTACAGTACTAACAGACTCTCATTTAATGTGCCGTGATACTTCACACATTAGACCGTTTTTACACTCAAGTGTAAATCAGCTGGATGAATTAAGTCACATCTGCCCCTTTAATGGACCATCTAAATTTTAAACACACTCAAAAACATTTACTCAGCATTCCACATCACTTTTTTCCACACATTGACTTTTAATAAAAAGCAAATGTTAAAATGTCATTTGAGGTTATTTGAAGTTTTGGGACCTGAAAACATGAATGTAAAATCTCATTTAAAGCCACCCTATAAAACGGTCTCTAGTTATATTAAAAGTTCAGTTAATGTAATAAACTGGAGCAAACCTTCCACCTCTTATCAACATCAGCCATCAGCAATAAGATGTGCCTGCTAAAAAATACCCAAGCTTTCCATATTTGTCTTTCTTCAGTCTTACTTAATGAGAATCAAACATATTTGGCTGCCATCTGAACAGCAAGGTTACAGTAGCATAACAACACACTAACCTAAATATTAATCTAATGTGAAAGCAAACAGAGGGCCAGATTTCTTTCTGAATTACACGGTTGTGCTATAACAGCAAGGAAATGCGTCAGGAACAAGCTTCAAATCAAAATGACTTGTCTGATTCTGGAAACACAATAGGTGGGACAACAGGATGTCTTCCCCTCTTACTTTACTAAGAACTATTTCTCAACAGTAATGTATATGAGGAACAATGCAAATGGTCCCTAACTTCTAAATCTCAGAACTGAAGCAAAATTCCATTAAACTAATATGGTGCACCTTCCCGTATATGTAGCAGTTAATTTTTATGTAGCAGTTCACTTCATATTTTTATATGTAGCATTTTTATATTTATATTTAAAGTTTGCTAACATGTCCACTCTTCACAAAGAAAAAAATCCAACAAGCAGGAAATTATACATATAATTCATTTAACTCCATAAATTCATAAACTAGCTGATTCATTTGTAGTTTTCAACACATTTTTACCAATGACCTCAATATCGTTTTTGCACTTTCAACAGAACGTAACTGTTGTTGCTTGCTAACTGTTTATGTTAGCAAGCTTGATAGCGTTATCTTGGTGACAAACCAACAGAATTTGCAATGACTATAGAAACTGCATCCCAGAAAACCAAACCTTTAAAAGGAAGGAATAAAAATTCATGTCCAGGATCAATGAATCAATTTCAGTGGCAGGGTCACACTGGTCCAAAAGGCCAAAAGACAGCTCTATGAATTGGTCCAAGGCCATCCTTATTGTTGAGCTTATTATATGAACACCACCACCTTGTGGAAGCCTAATGACTTAACGTTTGCCCACCCATTATATGACAGAGGCATATCATCTGGTTTGTTCATGTCAGCATTCTAGAACTGAAAGCCATATTTAAAAGATTTGTCAATGTTTTGAGGAATTACCCAACAGACAATTACTCGGTCCATTTTCTGCACATGCTGTGAGCCATATGACAATGAATGGTGAAGGCTTACACACAGAAAATGTCATATTATGCAGACTGTCCTAGAACACTCCAGATATCTTTGCTGATGCTTGTAGTCTGTCTGCAAGGAGGCGGCTCATGTTGCAGCAAGCTCTCAGCTGATGATGCCCTGGTGATGCAGTTCCTGGATACCGAGTTTATAAAGACTGATGTCTTCAAATGTGGAGACAAATCAATAGCCAGCCCATTAAGTCATATCTCATGTGATTTTCTATACACCATCAGGCCAAGACACAAAGTCGGGAGCAGAGTAGAATGAGCTGGGTCAATCTGCCCTAGGATAACTTTCTTGACTTGGCTTCGTATTCACATGGGAGTCACCGTCATGGCCACATATTCTAGAGCAAACACTGGGGGTGTTCTCTAGACAGAGACTTCCCACATACCTCTCATTGTCATTCTGGCATATCTCAAGCCAGGTGCCTCATCTGTATAAGAGAGGCAGTAAGAGCACCTGAGAGCTCCTTTGTGCCTTCTGGCAATCCAGTTCAAAGGCACATTAGGGTCATTGGGCATGAGTTCTGAGACACAAAGTCATAACAAGAAAAGGGAGAGTACCAAGGACTTTTCTGAAAGAAAAGACTCAAGACAGCACCAAGCGAGGGGTATAGTTAGAGCCTCTCATTGAGGATAATTAGTTTCAGAAGACTGGAATTTCCAGCTTTCTAAAGGCCTCTGGGGTGTGCGAGGTCTGGGAGGGGGTATCAGAACCAGCTGATAACATTTTTGGATGAAACGAGCTGACTAATATCACAAACTCCCAAAGCAAGAGAACACAAGCATACTACCTGACCCCAGCACCTCCCAATGGCCAGAATGCTGAGAACACTGCAGCCAAACAGATACTTCAATATGCATGTCTCACAGGGGAGCTTTGTATCCCAAAAAATGTAAACATTTAGACAGTTAGACAATGGGTGAGACATCAGGACACAAATAAAAAAACAAATTAAGACAACTAAACACCAAATGGATTTACATGCACCAGCAGATGGATTTGATACTCTGTCACAATATGAAACAGTCACTAATTACTACATATTATAAGAAGCAAAGTCTGAAATAGGCAATTTGTCTTGGAATAGAGGCTCAAGTCACTTTAACCTTTAACTGTTATTTATTTTTACTACAAATAAATATGTCTATTAGACCAAAAAAAAATCTGTAAACAATTCATGATTCAGATATGACAACACAATAAATTATCTGCTATCATATGTTTTACATAACTGTCTGGTCACTGGTCACATTTTATTCAGTCTTGTGGCATTTTTTTGCCCAATTCTTGGCTAATTTCTGATTCTGGTCACAAGTAGTGAAACATTACACAAAGACAAACCAGTTTTAAAGATAAACATCCACAAATAAGTGCTGGTCTGGATGAAAGCACTGATGCACCACAAGCCCCTGCACTGAGGACTGGATAACTGATTTCACACTCATGTGAAGCCCTTACTGTGTCTTGACCAACAATGTCAGCCTGAAACAAAAGATTCTCACACTGAACCAGTCATTATAGTCACATGCCCGCAGTCATGCTGGAACAACTAAGTGCAGGGTCAAGCTATCCTGGGGGCTATTCAGATCAGAGTAGTCATATGAGATCAGAATGTTGACAACATATGTTGATTTGTGGAATGTCAGCAAATCCAAGTGGCTTGCAGTGCTTGCACATTCAATACATTGTAAACCAGTGATACACAAAGAAAAACTTCTAAAACCCCATCCTACAATCTGAAATTCGCCAATATGCGATGAGAAATAACTATAACATCTTAAATAGGCTAATAGCATTTTCGATGACAAGAACAAGTTAAAGAGATAGCCTAGTACAAACTTAAACACTTACCTTCATCTTAACATGCCATAATTCTACAGGTTTAAATGTTAGCGTGGGGTAAGTGATGAACACACTGCTATCATTTCAATTAAACAATTCCTGAGCAATCTGTCATCATCTGAATCCTCCCTGCCGATCCAGTTCTGTTAAACTGAAGTAACTTTATCCTCTTTTTGCAAAGACAGAATCTTCTAAAAGCTCATTGTTTTTGAAGCTCTAATCGAGCTTCGCCGCTTTCTCTTGCCTAACATAAGGTTATACTGTTTTGACTGTGTGGGGAATTCCTTGCGCTCACATTTCCTTCGAAAGCGATTGGTCCAGGGTTCGGCGTCCACGCTGCAAAGCGAGCGACGCGTCAAACTAAACGCTCCCATGTAGTCGGTGAAGTGACGCGTCTTTCGGGGTTGTAGATGGATATGGGTGACGTCGGCACCTCAGCGAATCATAAGACTTGTTTATGTGAGCAGTGTTTACAGTTTTGGCTCATTTTCATGTGACTATAGCACTTGAGAGACATCTCCAGTTGTTCCATCAGTTAACACTTTATAACAGCCTGTTGTGTTTAAACGATTTAATCCACAGCCTCATTGCACATACATTATCGGATATAGCCTACAAATCATTCTGGTTAGCGTAATAATGGCAGTAAAAACAACGCTTTTGTTATTAGGCTATCATATCGTGTTGGTTGCATATATAGTAGTGTCTTTGTCCCGCAGGTGAGTGAGCGTTAATTTGTTACATTAAATCAATTGAGACATCACATCCCCTTAATTATACTGAACGTTAGTTTGTGATGTGAAATAAATTCAGATGACCCCTTAATCACACCGTCTGCCCCGCCCATTATCGGAATAGCCTGTTTGGGGAATTCTATGGTAGTAGTGGTTTGTTGTCAGGGGGTTTACTTATTTATACAAAATTTGAATAAGTGTTTTCAGACTTTTAACGGTAGTATTTTCTCATTTATTTTTCAGCATTTCCACAGATTAAAAAAAAAAAAGTACACTTTTCCCATAAACTACACACAACATATTTTAGGACCCAAAACCTAATGTAATAAAGGGCAATAAAGGGCAAATCAAAGTCGTGAATTCTTTCTTTCTTTCTTTCTTTCTAAAAAGCACATATAGCAACCACATCATCTCTTCCTTTTAACCTTGAATCTTTGTTTTTTTACACAATGAGTCACACATCTAGTTAGAAGTATTATTTAGCGAATTTCCCATCAATGTCAGCAAAAAGTCTAAATTTAATTTCTCAGTTTATCAGTTTTATTTGAAACACTGTTTACTGACCTTATTTGTAACTATACCCTACCTGCTCATAATGCTCGTTGTAGATGTGTGTGTAGTGTGGCATTGTTATTATTAATACAGTATATTACACTTAACTAGCCTACCCATAAGCCTGTAGTGTCAAATTGGCATTATTTGCTGTAATCATTGCTGGTATAATTGCTGTAAAAAATAGTGAGATATCTTGACACACTATAAATTATACGGACATACGTATCACACCAGTTGCACGTGATAAAAGCTTGGTTATGTAGATATTTAATCAAATTATTGATTTATTTATTTGTATTTTTTTGAATACCATATTAAAAAAATAACATCAGTATGGTTTTTTATTGCATCAGACATTATTTGAATTGAACGCCTAATTCTAGCAGTTAGTTGCTTTATTGTTGTTTTTGCTAATAATCTAGCAGAAATTTCTCGTAATCCACACATTTGAAGCTAAAAAGAATGCTTCCCATACCGGGAGTCGAACCCGGGCCGCCTGGGTGAAAACCAGGAATCCTAACCGCTAGACCATATGGGACGATACATAAATGGTCGGTTTTTATTAATTTGTTCATGAAGAATGCGCTATAATGATAATTTTTCTGTGTTTTTGTATCTTATCGTTCTTCTTATGGTCATATAAATGTTCACAGAAAAAAATGCCCGATCACTACATTCTCTGAAATTGTGTTAATAGACTTCAGCTTTCGTGTTCTAGTATAAAACGTCTATGGTTTCGATGTGTAGCTGTTTTACACAACGGACAGCAGGTGGCAGTGAAGCGCTAACATACGCTGAGCTTCCGCGAGACAGTTCTCCGAGGCACAGCACTATTTATTTGTTCCATTTTAGTTTCTGTCTCTCAAAATCTGTATAATTACGTAGTATAATTAGTGATAACTTTTCTGTTTTATTCTCTGGATATTTTAAGGAAACGAATATCTAACAATTATCCCATCTGACGCTGTTATATATCAGATACCCACTGTGTGTAACGTTAGCCTGTTAGCTTCTCGGATTTCGGTGAGTATTTTTATTAACACGCTTTTGTTGAAACGTCCTTTTTAGTATTTTATCAATCTAAAAAAAGTGTCACTCCTAAAATGTGTTTACCCCTTTTTAAAAAGCGTTTAGCAATCTTATAGCTTCCACATCTTTTGTTTTTATTTGCAAACATAGTGTCTTTTTTGTACAGAATTAGGAACCAAATATGACCTCAAAAACGAAAGGTAACGTTACTAGCATGCATTGTTATGAATTCACACCGCTTCTCTTCTACTAACAGAAAATTACTATGTATTACTATGTTACATACCATGGTATACACATGATATTCTAAGTTTCAAGATCGTGGTAATCATTTATTGCCTACCTTGGTATATTCCATAGTTCATGCATTAACATAACACATATTTGTTTGTGTGTGCGCGTGCGGGCTTTGTGTGTGTGTGTGTGTGTGTGTGTGTGTGTGAGAATGTGTAATAATTGTGAACTAATATGTAGTATTTCAAGACCTTTCTCTGTTTCAGTGGGAAAGGTTGGCTCCAAAAGCAAAGTAGATGCTCCTCATGAGCTGGAGAGTCAGTTTGTTCTGCGGCTTCCTCAGGTCAGTTTTGTTGTTGTTGTTGTTGTTGTTGTTGTTGTTGTTGTTGTTGTTGTTGTTGTTGTTGTTGTTGTTGTTGTTGTTGTTGTTGTTGTTGTTGTTGTTGTCAGGTCAGTTTTGTTGTTGTTGTTGTTGTTGTTGTTGTTGATGTTGATGATGTTCATTTTACTCACTTATATTAGTGCAAACCAGTATTTAAGTATGCACACACTCCCTGAACAATTCCATCATTGCATTTAAATAATTAATCACTTTAGATTATTGTTTGATGTGACTCACAATTATGCATTTGAGAGTAACTCAAGAGCTATAAGATTAGTAACATAATATTATTACACAAGTCACAAATAATTATATACAAATACAGTGTCATTGATGTACACTGTTCATTCCAATCAAGTTAAATGTTGTTCAGCTGTTTTTAATATTGATAATAATAAAATATGTTTCTTGAGCACCGAATCAGCATATTAAAATGATTTCTGGATTGTTTTTTAGGAATATGCCTCCACAGTCAGACGGATCGCCCAGTCTAGCAGCATGAACATGAAAGACAGACTTACTGTAGAGTTGCATGGTAAGTACTGTACAAGTGAGAAATTCACATGAACTAAAATGTACAAAGAAGTACTTTACATTTACTTAAGCATATTACATTTCATAAGCCTCTGACTGTTATCAATTTCTTTTGCAAAAATTTTGCTCATGGAATTTGTTACCATATTCCTAGCCGATGGTCACCATGGGATTGTACGTGTGGATCGTGTCCCTTTAGCGTGTAAATTAGTGGATTTACCCTGCATCCTGGAGTCATTAAAAACGGTTGACAAAAAGACCTTCTATAAGACTGCTGATATCTGTCAGGTAATATTTTAATAGAAGCTGTTGATAGAAGTTTCTTAGAGAGTCTTAAATTAAACTCCCCCATTGTAGTCTTGGGTAACAGAGACAAGTCATTTAATGAGCTTCAGCACATCTACAAGGCCATAACACTATTAGTTCTTCTGCCTTCCTGTTTAAGATGCTGGTATGCACACTGGATGGAGACTTGTACCCCCCTCTAGAGGAGCCCACAGGCACTACAGACCCCAAAAGCAAAAAGAAAGACAAGGACAAAGACAAGAAATTTATTTGGAACCATGGCAGTAAGTACCTCCCACTCCTGTACTGGAATTTGAGAATGTTGAGACAGCCTATCAGTGCTAGAATGATTAAACTCATTTTATATCTAATTACATCTGTCTCCTTCCAGTTACTCTTCCTCTGAAGAACACAAGGAAGAGGCGGTTCAGGAAGACAGCGAGGAAAAAGGTAACCTCATTTGGTTTTCCTCATGCAATCTGTTGTTGTTGTTTTTTTCTTGGATTTTTCTGATGATTCTACAATCATTTGTCATCATTATATGACAAAAAACACGTTTTTTGATTGTGGACTATTAAAATATCTCCATGATCTGCTTTTGAAGAAATATCATAGCGTCGTGCTATAACGCATGTTAACTCACTGCTCTTGACTGAAGAACTTTAATACAGTTGATTTAATAATACTCAATGTATAATTTCTACAGTGAAGTTTATATAATGTTTTATTTTTATATTTGTTCATTCAATTTCTTGAATGCTACTGATAAATACACCTACTGTACCTGAAAAATAAAGCACTGTTTGTTTTATTTGTATATTATGTGTACTTGTAATGTGTATCTTTGTTCTTATTTTTTTAATAACAAATATAAAATAATGGCAAAGGTTTTTTATCTTTGCCCACTTTGGCCTAAATGTCTGCCATTCTTTTTTTATTTTATATTTTGTTACCTTGTAAGGCTTTGTTTTTAAAATCGCTAAATATGTTTGGCTGTACTGCTCAGACAACTTGCAATATAGTAAAACCAACATGACAAATAATCGTGATAAAAGTGTGATTTTCCTGAAAGAAAATCGTGATATGATATTTTTGCCATATCGCCTACCACTACATCCCTGTTTGGGGAAAAAAAAAATGTTTACTCTTGTAGGAAAAGAGAAATTAGTTAATGCTAAAAGCTACAATTTACATATAAATAAAGCATTCAATCTCCATTTACCACCACGGTATGCAGGAAAGCAATCTGGCTCTCTCTTTGATTGAAGTGACAGCAGGCAAGTTAGTGGCAGGTTCTTTCTGACTCTTGAATAAATCTCAGCTACGTTGCAGCTAGCGATTGACTCGGCTTCCTTTTTTTAATCGCTAATGTGTTCTCTGGCATGCAGCCAGCCTCTACTGTTAGTACAATGTGTGCGTCTGAATGCGTGCATGCATTTTTTGAGAACGTGTTCCTTGGGGCTGAATTCTAACCTGATTTATCCTGCAGTACATCGAGTCTCCTGATGTGGAAAAGGAGGTGAAGAGGCTCTTAAGCACAGACGCCGAAGCCGTCAGTGTTCGTATCCTTTATTTCTTGATTTTGTTTTCCCCTGTCATGTTGCCGCAAACCCAGTGACACAAC